CATGTGCGCCAGCCAGCTGATCGTTGGATTTCTGGTGGTCTGGCGCACGCCTTCCGCTTTGGCCACTCTGTGCCTAAAAGGTTCGCCATCATTGGTCTAGATCAGTGTTTCTCAACCTTGGCAACTTGAAGATGTCCGGACTTCAACTCCCAGAATTCCCCAGCCAGCATTCAAGTTGCCAAGGTTGAGAAACACTGGTCTAGATGCTAGAACTCTTTAACTAATATCCCACGATCATCACAACTTTTGTCAACTTCTTGTGTATTTTCATAAAAATCCTTTTAACAGAAATGTTTTTTTTTTCACTTGTATTCATTAACATCAGTATAAACGAAATCATAAAATGTTAGAGCACAAACTCTGGATGCCATCCAGTCATTCCAATAACCTATTCAGTACAAGAGGTCAATGCATTCTCCGATGTCCACTTATTATTATTTTTTAGCAAAAGGAAATCCAACTTTGTTTCTTACCCCAACATTTTAATGCATTTGTCAGGATGATTTTTTTTTAAGCATGGCTACAGGACGGTAGGAGGTTTATTAGGTACAACTTTATTCATATGGGCCCATCATAGTGTGAATTTCAAGATGAGCACCAGAGGGAGCTATCATCTCACAAAGATGTGGAGAACATTGATGGGCCTTCTAGGCAGTTTTATGAGTCCTTTCCAAGGGAAAGTGGGATGGTTGGCTCAGAGAGAGAAAAATATGAAATCTGCTTGCCCCACAACTCCATTATCGTTTGCATCTACGATGTCAGCAATACTGAAAATGATTTGTTTTCACAAAGCGCCTGGCATTACTTTAGCCATTCATAGGAACTAGCCTCATCTGTTTTGAAATGTTAGTGCTCACTGTAGTATATACCCTATATATTCCAAGCAAATGGCTGTCCAATCTTTTCTTTAAAACTTCGAGTGTTGGAGCACCCACAGCTTCTGGAGGGAAGTCATTCCATTCATCAGTGGAACGACTTGCCTCCAAACGTTGGTGCTCCTTCACTGGAGATTAGACAACCATTTGTCTGAAATGGTATAGGGTGAGCATGGGGCTGGACTAGAAAACCTCCAAGGTCCGTTCCAACTCTGTTCTTCTGTTATTCCTATGTAAGAACATGTGCGAGAGACGGAAGGAGGAAGAGCTGCAAATTAGGGATTGGTCAGATAAGAGGCAGCTTAGCTCACAGAAGGAATGAGACCAGAGCAAACATTTGAATTTATTTGTATTTATTAGTTTGTCAAACATGTACAAGATAGCAGGTATAAATATAAACATAGGCATGAACGAAAGAAATGAATACAAATAAATGGGGACAGTAGGATAGGGACAGTAGGCATGTGCACCTCATTTACGGACCTCTTAGGAAAGGGGTGAGGTCCATAGTAGACAGTTTGAGGTTGAAGCTGTGAGGGTTTGAGGATGCAACAAAGGAGTCAGGTAGAGCATTCCAGGCGTTGACCACTCTGTTGCTGAAGTCGTATTTTCTGCAATCGAGTTTGGAATGGTTTACCTCTGAACATCTCTGAAAGGAATCCCCTCCCCCACCCCAAATTTCTTGGATTGGGTAAAGGTAAGGAGAGAGAGAAATGTACTTTCAGACTTGCAACAATGAAGATAGTTCTAGTACTCATGGTTGTTTCTTTTCGTCTGGATTACTTCTAAGGAGTGACATTGTCCTACTTCCTATTTCATTTGTATAATTGGGTCCCCAATACAATTACTGTATATCTAGTCCTCTTTCCAAAATCCTGTTTGTTATCTTTCCCAACCTTATTTTACCTTGATAATAGCCCCGTCAAGGAGAATAAGCTAAATGGCGGCCATTTGGGTCAATTTTACAGAAACCAAATATTAGTCACAGCTATATATACAAATACTAATTCATCCTAAAGCACTTTTAAACTTCTCATCTACGGAAAAAAGTTTACTACCTTTTTGTTATCTTTTCTTCCTTGTTCAAGTTAACATTTTAACTGCCGCTGCACTTTCCCGTCTTGCTGCTCGTACCCAGAAGTCCTCGTACTGCTACCTCTTGGCCCTCACTGCTTCTGACATCCTGACTCAGGTCTTTGTGGTCTTTGCTGGCTTCATCGTGCAGGCAGCCATCTTGGCCCGCGAAGTGCCAGGTGCCTTTGCCCATGCAGTCAACATCTTGCAGTTCACGGCCAATCACGCCTCCATCTGGGTGACGGTACTGTTGACTATGGACCGTTACGTGGCCCTTTGCCATCCCCTGCAGTACAGGGCTATCTCCTACCCAGAACGCACCCAGAAGATAATTGCTGCCGTGTTTGCAGTCTCATTGGCTACTGGGGTTCCTTTCTACTGGTGGCTGGATGTTTGGCATGATGTCTACCCACCCAGCACTATGGACAAAGTCCTGAAGTGGCTTCATTGCTTCATCATCTACTTCATTCCCTGCACTGTCTTTCTGATGACAAACTCTGTTATCATCTGCAAGCTCAAGCGATCAGGAAATCCCAACCGCCGTCTCAGCAGAACCACAGCCATTTTGCTGGCTGTCACCACTGTCTTCATTGTCCTCTGGGCTCCACGGACATTTGTCATCATCTACCACCTCTACGTGGCGTCAGTCAATCAGGACTGGCGAGTACACCTGGCCTTGGATGTGGCCAACATGGTAGCCATGCTCAATACCTCCATCAACTTCTTCCTTTACTGCTTTGTCAGCAAGACTTTCCGGCGTACTGTCCGTGAAGTGCTCATCTCTTACAGGTTCCAATGTACTCAAAGATCAAAGAAGGACACTGCTTTGGAATTGACTCTGAAACCCCTGGGGGTCTGGGCTGGGACTTCAGTTTAGGGAGATGATCATCATCCTTCTGCAAACAGCCCTGCTTTTGCTGAATGTGGATTCCGTGGGCCTTTTGGTGCAGCAAGATGATGGAGAATAAGGACTTCCTTTGTGTCCCTGAGTTCCTTCAAAAAAAGGGGGGAGGAGGTAGTGATGTAGCTTCATTCAGAGATGCTTTGTTTTCATTCTTTATTTTTAAGTAATGAATTGTTTGGGGAAGAGAGGAAGGAGGGAAGCCTTCGTCCTCCTTTTGTTTTATGGTCTTACAACTCTCATCCTTATTCAGTGAGGTGAGCCATCCGTCAAGGACAAGGACAGACCTTCACTGCCATTTTGAGATGTGTTCCACCTCAGTGGAATGTCTTTAGTATATGGCAGGAAGACAAATGTCTGGTTTATCCCCAGCTCTTATTCACCATATCTGTTCTGATTCTGATTCTTCCATAGACAGGGCAATGCATACACAGTATTTAAAGAAAGCAAGAAGGGATGTTTGTGTGCATTGATTTCCCTGTTACTGAAGGCAAAAGACAAGGAGGCCTTGAAGAAGCCAGGCCCTAGAAATCAAAGAGAGAAAAGTAGTACCGTAATATCCATGTAACAACATGTGTGTTTAGAAGGGTGGAACCTGCAGAATTGTTTCAAGCAAGCAATCCCTTTGTGTGGTGAATGTCTCTGAGCCAGATAATCCATTCCACACTTTCAAAATTCCAACATTCTTCACTCCTCACCCCAAACTTTCCACTCCCATAAATATTTGCCTTTAGGTGGGTTTCTCTGAGTGTTTTTCTCTCGCCTCCTTTGAAAAGCTTCATTCACACCCTTTTGGAGGGCCTGTCAATCTGGCAGCTCCCCAAATAGCTCCAAGCACCACTGCCTGGGAGGAAAGCCAGCTACGTCCCGCCAAGCATCAACTCATGCTTTCTCCCAGAGGCACAGGCAGAGGCATATAGTTCAGCTTCAGACACGGGAAGTAGGCCTGTTGGGACATTTGCATGGTCTTAGATCCATGCACAAATTGGGAGGTCTGTGCAGGATCTGTGTGAAGGTACCTATAACCGTTTATAAGCCACGGTTTATGGCATAATCCCAGATAATTTAAATATATTAAATAATCCAAGTTTCTGTATGATTTAGCCCAATTTGACTGAAATGAATCAGACTCACCTAGTCTCTATACCATGTCAAACTGTTGACAAGGATCAGTGTTATAAACTCCACAAGTAAATGGAGAATGCTTAGATTTGTTTTGTATAGACAAGGCAATTTACAAGTCTGCTTAACTTTTGTTGTTACTGTCTTACTATTAATGAAGGTTTTTGTCATACTTGAACTGATCTATTCACTTGAGAAAGAATATTGAATAATTGGAGAAGTCGGAGAAAAGGGCAACCAAAAGGCTCAAAGAAAAAGAAGTACAATTTAATTTTATTTAACTTGGAGGGGGGAGAATCACCCACCATCAACAGAGAGTTTGAATTTTTTTTTAATTAAAATTAATACATATTTAAAGTAATTTGAGAAATTCAAAAATAGAGCTATTTCTCTCCATTTTGTGTGACAGAATTTTTGGATCAGTAGTCTATTCAGACAATTTCCTTTCTTTTTAGGCAATGTTTTGAGTCAATGGCAGGGATGCTAGTTACTAGGGACATAATAGTATTTAAGATACCAAACTAGAAAGTTATAGACCCACTTTAAGCATGAAAGCTGGCTGGGTGACTTTGGGACAGTCACTCTCTCTCAGCCCAATCCCCCACATAGGGTTGTTGAGGAAGGAAGGAATATTAGGTATGTTCACCACCTTGAGTTATTCATAAAAATATTAAAGGCAGAATAAAAACATCTAAAATATGTATAGTATGACAGTGGTAAAATATTGATAAAAGTGTCACGTGTGATATTTTTCAACATTAACAGCTTGGATGAAAACATAAAGAGAATGCTTTCCAAATTTTTATACAAGATAAAAACGAGTGAAATATCTAATCTTTTAGACAGCACATATAAGATCCAAAAATGATCTTTTTTATTTTGGTTTGTCAAGCATGTATGAGAAAAACAAGTTTAAGTATGAATATAACGTATAAACATCTAAGTATAAACAGGTATACGTAAATACATACGAAATGAATACAAATAAATGGGAACAGTAAGCCAGGGACGGTAGGCATGGTAGTGCCCCTTATGCATGCCCCCTTACAGAGATCTCTTAGGAATGGGGTGAGGTCCACGGTAGACAGTTTAAGGTTAAAGTTTTGAGGATTTGAGGATGTAACAACAGAGTTGGGTAGAGTATTCCAGGCATTGACCACTCTGTTGCTGAAGTCATATTTTCTGCGATCAAGTTTGGAGTGGTTTACTTTGAGTTTGTATCTATTGTTTGACTGTGTGCGGTTGAAGCTGAAGTAGTCGTTGACAGGCAGGACGTATCTTAAGTTAGAGAGACTTAAAATAGTGCTTTTTAATTTTAAAAAAATGCAGTTATTATCTTAGGATACAAATCAAGTGTACAGGGGGTAGGGGATAGGCAGGGGATAACTGGTTTGGAAAGTGTATGTGTGAAACTATCTAGGATTTATAGTTCCCAAATGAATATGGAAGAGCAGTGAGACCTGACTATAGCAATAGAAGTATAATTCCCAAGGAACAAGGAGTTATATCTTCACTGAATTCAATAATTATTAAATCTCATCATGTATTGTGTCATCCTAGGCTTTAAGAAGGTTTTCAGAAAAACTAGAACATGTACAAAAAAAAGGGTAACAGAGAATTTGAAAGCTGTTAAGATATGTTTAATCCATAAGCCATGACAATTAATGAAGGTTATTGTGGCCTTCTTCAAGTACCTGTATGAATGCCTTGTCAAACTTGCAAAGACAATATCGAAATAGCAAAGACAATTTAATACAGGCAATTCAATGAAATATTTTAACATTCTGACCAACATCAAATATTGTGAGAAAAGACCAGAGACTGTGCTACATAATATAAGTTCGAGCAAATGGGGCAAGGATGTTCCTAACCCCTTCACATTGAATTTGACTCTGGGTGTTTTCATGGACATGTCTATAAACTGGTGTTTTCTCGTCTTGACAGTCCAAGTCTTCTGGACTGTCCCAGTTACTCTAGTCCAGTGTTTTTCAACCTTTTTTGTGCAAAGGCACACTTTTTTCATGAAAAAAATCACGAGGCACACCACCATTAGAAAATGTTTAAAAAATTTAACTCTGTGCCTATATTGGCTATATATAAAGTAATTCTCCCACGGCACACCTTACACTATGTCACGGCACACTAGTGTGCCGCGGCACAGTGGTTGAAAAACACTGCTCTAGTCAATGCTATGGCTTCTTGCCTTTCTTTATGGCCAAGGAAGAAGCTATATTTATAGCTAGTTTCTGACCCGCACAGCTAGGATGAAACAAGAAGGCCGTACCAGCTGAGGACTGCCAGATTTGAGGTACTTACCTGTCTAATGCAGTTCTAGCCAGCATGGATGACACTTAGTCACTCACACTCTGGTCAGCCCTTCTTTATTCTCCTACCACCTGGAAGGAGATATAGAAGCATAGGCAGCCACATCAACAGGCTGAAGAACTGTTTTTATCCCTGGGCTGTCAGACTCCTGAATGAAAAATAACTCTACAACAACATAGTACGATTGACTTGCAGGGGCAGCGCAATGTGCAATAAGTTCACATGGTGCAATAGGAATGGGTGGTTTGTTAGTAGGATTCATCGGGCTAGGGATTTTTTGTCTTTCACTGCGAGTTGTATTGTGTTGGGGGCAGTGGTGAAATCCTCTGAAGTCTGTTAGCGGTTCGGTGAGTCTGCTACCAAGCACGCTCTATAAAAGGAACATTTTGAAGCCTTCCGAGTCTGTTATCATCTGCAAGCTCAAGCGATCTACCAAAGGTAAGTAGAACAGCGAGGGTGGGGGAATCTGCTGTGCCACACGATTTAGATTAGCTAGAAAGCAGGAAATCTGACGATTCTAGCTGATATAAATCGTGCATCACAGCTGATCATTGGAAATATCAGTTCACCCGAACCAGTAGCATTTAAGCCCTGGTTGTGGGGGGTGCACAAAGGGAGGCTCAGCCAATCTCATTGTATATATGTTGTACTCTGACAATAAAAGTTTGAATTTGAATTTGTTGAAAGATGCTACTCTCAGGATAAACCTGTTACAGGAAAGTAACACCTATTCCCCAGCAGGATAGGGCAAACTGCAGGTGAAGACTATTTCCAGAGTCTTAAATAATATTTTTGTAATGTTCTACATTTGGTAGGGAAGCACAAACAGATGCTGGCATAGCTCTCTACCAGATGGCTTAGTTTACCACAAAGAGGAACATTATTTTTTATGGAAGTGTATAAAAGGAAGACTCCTCCCACCAACTACAACTCTGAAGTTGTAGAAGCATCCAATCCCCCAACCCCGTTTCCACTGAGTAAGCTGGAAAGGTCCTCTGGTTATAGTGCCATAGTGCTTCTTTCCCTTAAGGCAATAACAATTTCTCACAGTTGACTCTCCAACGTTTAGCCGCCTTTAATTCATTGTTCATGAATAAATAGACACGCTTATCTGGCTTGGACTAAGCTGGCCAGAGAATGCAGGCACAAATCCTTTGCTTGAATTACCTTCTTTTAGCTTCCTTTGACAGATCTACGACTGCTTGGCAGCCTGCAGCAAAGCGGCAAACAAGTAGAACTGCATTTCTTCCTTCATCATTTATTGCGCGAGCTCAAGCATGACCCTCCCGAGCCTCTTTGGTACGGCCTTCTGGTGATGTCACTCTTCACTAACCACTAACTACCGCTACCTCCACGGCCCATGAAGCTCAGAGAAAGAGGCCATTTCAGTTGAAAGAATAATCCACATTCTCCTCGTTTCAAAGAAGAAAGGAAAACCGTAATTTTGCACTCCTCTCCTGTTGCACCTGCCTGCCACCTGCTTTGCCACAGGCCAGCATCAAGGAGGACAAATACCTGGCCAGCCCTGG